TTAGATGATTAGTTCCTATGCCAAAACGTGCAATGAAATTGTTTCGTGTGTGTGCACAAAATTGCTGCATTTAATGACAAAGTATGTTGGATTATATGGTTATGAAGATGTTTGGCAAGATACTGAAACGCCAAGTTGCGTTCGACTGAGGTAAATGATTGTTATTTTGCCTCAATACCTTTGAAATGTTCTAAATGCTCCTAGACAAAGCCTAAGTCATTAACTGGGAATCGGATCAAGCATCTGCAGCTAAGATTTGCAAGCTGATACGTACACAATCAAGCCATAGGCAAGTGTAGATCTTATGTAAGTGCTTTACAAATGGGTTAAGACTTCTGGTTTTCTATCCAATCTGTGTTTGCCACAACTAAATCTAAGGCTATTTGACGTTTTACATTTGCTTTGGTCAACGACGTATTCAAGAACAATCAAGGGATATATTATGTCATCGTGCATTAAGTGTAAACTTCAGAAGTGGATACAAATCAGTTTTAATACGCTTCTTCTGTCCATTTCTAGACTCAAATTAAGCATATATGTAACAGATATTCTGGATATTCCACATCTGTTCAAATCATTAAAGCTTAAAGGTTGACTCTAATTATTCTTGTCGTTATGAATCGAGAGTAGTCGTCGCCTTATCCCACCGTCTTAATTACCCAGTGATAAGAATTAGGTGTTGAGAGCTATGTGGGCCTTATCGGGGAATGAATAGAAAACTGAGGAAACGGATATTCATCCCGATGACATTGGTTACCATTTTACCAATATTTCATCAAGATTGCAATATTGTATAGATTATACTAGATTTCTTTTTACAAGTGGTGATGCTATTATGTACAGTGGTTCTATTGAAGGCCATGGTACCATCATAATAGAACGCGTACTACTTTTCTTCAGTGTTATGTCAGCATTTACTGAGAAAATTTATTCCGTATCATGAAGGGCGTATTACTTTTCTTCAGTGTTAAAGTCAGCAGTTACTGAGAAAATTTATTCCGTATCATGAAGGGCGTATTACTTTTCTTCAGTGATAAAGTCAGCATTTACTGAGAAAATTTATTCCGTATCATGAAGGGCGTATTACTTTTCTTCAGTGATAAAGTCAGCATTTACTGAGAAAATTTATTCCGTATCATGAAGGGCGTATTACTTTTCTTCAATGTTAAAGTCAGCAGTTACTGAGAAAATTTATTCCGTATGATGAGCTGATTAGCTGTTAGAGGAAACTTTCTGACACAATGAGCATTGATCGACAGGTGAAGGGAAATTTGGGCTTAGCCACAATAATCGATAGTGCAAATGTTTACTTTTCTAAGTCTCTAAAATTCTAAAATAATTAGTCGACACGTTTAGGAGAAATTAACCTTAATGTCTAAATTTTCCGGCACAAATAAGTCTGCCCTTTTCTTGTAGAGAACGCGGCTTTTGTGACTCGTGTTAGCGGTATCAGGTCTGTTTAAGACAATACTCTTTTCTTTATATATATATATATATATATATATATATATATATATATATATATATATATATATATATATATATATATATATATATATATATATATATATATATATATATATATACGAGAGATAGAAAATTCGTATAATTACTAGCATTGCAAGTGCGTGTTGTGAGCATGCTACGGTTTCAGTTCAACACTGTCGAATGCATGTTTCCATAAAATATCAAAATATGATGCAAAAGATTGAGAAAATTTCATTCCGTTTTCTATAATTCATAATTCTTATGATCGTTAGAAAAATAAAGTTGTCACGTGCCTTGTTAAATTGCACTTGTTATCCTTGACCAGTGTTGACCAAATTTGTAAAATGCACTTTCACATTTAAGATTGTATACCGATTTACAACAAGGCAGAATACAAATGAAAGAAGGACAGCATTATAGTATTTTCATACTTTAAGTGTAAGTAAACTTATCTTTGACTATATACTAATGTGTAAGTGAAATGAACAATTTCTATATAATAATGTGTTAGTGAAATTATCTATTTCTATATTTTATTGTGTAAGAACTTATATAATTCTATGGTTTCATGTGAAAATGAATTTATCTATTTCCAATTTGTGTTTAGTGTGTTACGAATCTATTTTCTTAAACGAAAGTAACAGAAAAGCTTTGTAAAATTTAACAAATAATTTATTTCCCTAGAAAACAAAGTGAAAATTGAGGGAAAAATAATTTACGGTTTTGCGAATTAAATCCACATATGATCCAATAATTAAAAACAAAATGAAGTCCTAGTAATAAAAAGTCCTGAATGAACCTGGGTTTAAGTACCGATGAAATCCGAAATTGAAGGCGATGACGTCTGTAATATCGTACGAAATGCAGATTTATCAAGAGTCTCTAGTTGAATCACAGAAAATATTATTCCAGTTTTTAATTCAGTATAAATCCCAATGAAGGTCTTCATCCAAGAATTTTCTCAGTGCACTTTTGTATTTCCAGAGAAAAGGATCACTTGAATTCAATAATTTGAAGAAAATAAAATTCAACCCAAACTGGTTACAACATAATACAACTTAGAGTGTCAAGTGTTTTAAGCCCAACTTACAAACTATATCAAAACATCAGTTAAACGACTAATTAAGACGCAAAACAGAGTCCCGGCCGGATGAGGGTCAAAAGTTGATTCTTCTGAAAAAAGTAAGAGTTTGTTACCAATTGGCACATGATCAATATCACGTAGTCCAGGTATGACTTTGACTCCACTTAATCATTCTTACTCTGAGAGAAGATAAAAAAAAAAAAATAAAAAGAAGTTATTTACCAAAGCTTCCACTCATTTTGGAACAAAGTCAACAAATAGATACAATGTTTCTATTAATAATTGTTTACATTAATGAAATAAAAAATAAAACAATCAATCAAGTTAAACAGAACTGAACTCAGTTCTTGACAATGTCAAATCCAGTCACAACGTTACATTACAACAGCATGTAATGGAATAAAACAATTTAAAACTAACAAACAAACAATTGAATTAAATATACATAACAAATGTCGCTGGCATTTACAGATAAAATTGACTTTATACATTTTTTTTTGTATGACTTACGTATAAAGAAGATTTTGATGCATACGTTTTTTTCAAATGCAATATCCATTTAATAAATATCAAGTGTAAACAAATATATACAATATTAATGTAGTGAAAATCCAATTTGACGTCGAATCTTCCCATCTCTACGCTTATAGGCAGGTTACGGATGATGCTTTTTAACCAATATACAGTGTTTTCAAAGAAGTAAAATTAAAGAATGTACAGTTATTGAGTCTAGCCTGCTTCAAAATAAAGAAAAAAACATGTATGAGAAATATTCGTAGATAATCACATGTGTTGTATCAGCGACATAGCGTTTTAAAGTTTTTTCATTGTCTGTTATAAGAAATTGTTGTTAAATACTTCATATTTTCTTTGTATCAAGATCATGAAATTGTCTTGTGTATCTACACATCGCAAATATAAACAACATATCTAACGACTTGAGAGGAAAAAATATTTATTCAAATTCATCTATTTCGAATTTATATGACAAAAAGTCTAGGGAAGCCAAAAGATATAAATGCAAATTGGAGACTCGTTCAATTATAGACGAGTATGTACGATGTATGGTGTATAATTACTATTATTCTGAACAGATAAAAATTACTTATCTGAACAGAAACGGTGTGTGTGTGTGTGTGTGTGTGTGTGTGATTTTGATTTTTAAAGTAACTCTACGAATTTTTGAGTCAAATGCTACTAGGTCTGCTGTGTGTCCGTTTAAAGTGATGTCTAGCACTGGGTAATGGTGCCGCAGATAAATTGCATATGTCCCACCCATTTACGATATCCTGACATCAGGCCGACCAGTCCAAACACTAACCTCCTAATGCTGAGCGCAAAGCGAGGAAGCTGCTACTACCATTTTGATAAGTCTTTGGTATGACTTGGCTGGGGTTCGAACCGGCAACCTACTGCATCCAAGGCAGACGCTATACACACTTAAGCCACCTGAACGGTCTGACAGAAAATAAGTTACAGATAGGAGAAACTTCACCATGCTATGTGCAGTTTCTAGCATAAAACCAAATACATCATTTTAGTGTGAGTTTGTATGTACGTCTTTCTCAAAATGATATGCATGGTGTGTTATCAAAGTTGGTAAGTCCTTGATTTATGAGTGAATTTATTATTGTTATATATATATATATATATATATATATATATATATATATATATATATATATATATATATATATATATATATATATATATATATATATATATATATATATATATATATATATATATATGTGTTGTTCTTCTTGTTGTCGTTTGATTTTATAGCAAGTCTCTTAGGCAGAGTCGAAGACAACATGGGTTTTATCATTTTAAAAGTTGAGATGATTGGACAGACACAACTAAACTGAGATAAGAATCGTAAGGGTAGCAAAACAGTCAGATTTCTCCGTCGCATGGGCGAGAAGAGTAGTTGTTTGTCAATGTGAATTCAGAATTTTATTGCCAGACTGGAAACCTTCTGAGATGCTCTATCTTGATCTTCTTAGTTTTATTTGCTTTACATGTCTGAGACGTTAAGAAGTTTCCTTAGAATAACCACATTCTTTAAAGACTTGAGCCTTGCTGTCCTAGACTGAGTACGTTTTGAGTTTTATAGAAAAAAATATTCATTCGGATGCCTCTGGTGCAATAGTTCAAACTTGTGATGGTGTCCTTGTTAATAGTTATTGAAGAAATGTTTTGATGGCCTACTGGTTGATTCTGACTATCTTGTGTGTCAAGAGATGAAGTAAATCATGGGTTATCGTTCCTTAAAATGATATAAAAGTTTTTAAAATTTATTTAACATATTGTCGGTTTTTGAACAAACGTCGTTGTTTTTTCTATAATTTCAAGCTTGAGATAGATTTGTTTATTAATTTTCAAGGATAATGAAATTGTACCACCTCTAGTTTGTATCAGATATGAT